TTGTATAAACTTTACAAAGAACTTAAAATTTTCTTTTCGACTTTTAAAAGTTTCGGTAAAATTAAGAGCGCGTTTCCATTTGCAAATGTGCTGCATCCTATATGTTATAAAATAATATGTAGTTGTGTTTGTTTTGTGATACTCTTGTATTATATTTCTAGACATTAACAATGCTTCAAGAATTCACGAGATAGTAATATTCGTAGTTTTTTATTGTTGCAAATTAGCAAACGTTGACCTATATATTGGTACGGGGCTGACGGTGCTCAAGGACTCTGGCAATGGCAGGAGTACGACAAGCTCGCTGCCAGTTCACAGATACAATATACTACCTCCCTGCCTATTTCTGCCGTAAAGCAGTAATGCTTTTCGGTTTGAAGGACGGGGCAGCCGTTGTACTGTTAAAAGTGAGACCTTACAACTCATGTCTCAAGTTGATGACGTTGTAGATGTCTATGGGCTCCGGTAACCACTTAACAGCAGGTGGGCCGTGAGCTCGTCCACCCATCTAAACGACAAAAAAAAATCCGATACATATTTAAACAAATATCTGAAAGAGAATAAAAGAAGAATATCTGTGTACTGACATCAACGTACAGCTTGTTTCTGCCGTGAAAGAATAGTATATACCGGCTGGAAGAGCTTTAATACGCTTTCATTAGCTTGCTGGTATATATCGAAGTAACGGAATCTTTCAGCGCAATTTTCACGAACTTCGAGAAATTTGACTTGAAAATTTCCACGACTGATGACACAATTATGACAATACCCCAATTTTATTACTTTGTCTTTACATATTGAACAACATAACAAAAATGATTAATTTGACGTAGTTTAAAAACTAAAAATCAACTAAACTAATCCTGTAACTAAATAAAAAATTACTTTACTATTTTTAAAACTATTTTTATTTGCTTTCAATTGGCTTGGATTGGATGATTTGGATGTTGTTAAAAAGGTCAAGTTGCTTTTTTTGTCAATTGAACTGAGATTCTTGCTGGGTTTTTTTTTCAGTTATAAAACTGCATTCTGAATCTCTAGTAAAGTCGTGGCTATTTAAAAGCGCTAGTAAATCCATAGATAGTTCAATTATTATAGATGAACCACATATTTTATTTCGAATAAAAATAAATACTACAATAAGGTATAAAAATACTTCATTATTTATAAAGAGAAAAAAAAAAGCAGAACTAAATAAGAGAAGTCAAGAAATAAGCTAGAGCTACCTTTGGGGGGCGACGATACTTCTGTAATGTAAATGGGTATCGAAAACCACTTAACACCAGGTGGCCTGTGAGCGCATTCATCCATCTGGTGTCATAAAATTCACATTTAGACATACATACCGAATAATTTCAAATATAACTACTACTTAAATTCATTGATAAGTAATTCAAATCAAAATTAATCTTTACGTTCATAATAAGGGTAATTGTCGAAAACATTGAAATGGATAACGAATCTAAATTCAATGCGATAGCGCATAAATTCAAATATCGGTCTCCGCTGTGGATTGAGTCGGATTCGGACATCAGCGGCAGTTCAGATGGAGTCCAAGGCATCTGCAGTGACGATAGCTCATGCAACAGTGGAAGCTCCGGAAGCGTCAACAACTACTTGGACTCTGAGGTTAGCGGCGTAACGTTCAATTATGCTTGGCATGTTTTATTTTGCAAATTATATTCGAATGAGAATATTTCCAGTCCTATATTAAACTTGTGACTCAGTAAGAATTACTTAAACTTAATAGATTCTTCGTACGATAAGCTTAGGTCGGAATGTGGACAATTAGTTGCATTAATTGTATATTTTATAAACTACTTGTGTACCTATAAATCAGTGCAAATAATAAATCAGTAGAAACGTCTCTATATTGAAGAAAAGCAATAAAAATATTTTTTATTTTATTTTATATATTACAATTTTTTTCCCATGTCGTTGACATGGCTCTTAATATTACGTTTAAATTTATTTATTTATTTTTATGTTTTGCCTAATGTAAGGGCTATGGATCGGGAGTTTTTACTTAATTTTTTTTTTTTTTTGCTTACAATCTTACAATCCTTAAGCTTACACATCTATTTTTATATTTCTCAGGTTATATTTTTTACACATAATTTTTTTTTTTTTTCTCTGTGTTTTATTTCTTATGCTAACACAATTTGTCTAACTATCTAATACAATTTCTATGATATACAATTTATACTTACTATATATTGCTACCATAATAAAGTTATATTAGGGATAATTAAGAAGAGTAATAGAATATAATAAGCCAGCGATTTTTTTGTCTGTTTGTTTGTCTCACACGTTTCTGGCAGTAATGAACAGATTTTTATGTGATTTACATAGGTAGACCCAGTGGCGGATTTGCAGTCTCGGCCGCCCCTTTCTCAGCATCCATCATATAGTCTACATAATGAAATTACTTTATTGCCAACTTTTATCTAAATAGATTTAGAGATTTAGGAATAAAAAATTGTTTAGGGTAAATCCGCCACTGGGTAAACCGAGATTGAGTTGAAATGGAATAATCTTTTCACTAAAATATTTCGAAAATTTTATAATTACGCGTATTCATAGTTTTTCGGAATTTACTTTGATACTGCTGGACGTTAAATCGCAAATTATATTAATACATACGAAAGAAGCTCTGTCTGCCCAATACATTTTCACGCCCAAACCACTCAACCGATTTTGATGTAATTCGGCTTGGAAATAGTTTGAACTCTGAAAATTAATATAGGTTATCTTTGACTCGACTTTTAAGCGTGGTTTTTCGACCAAGCTTTATGGAGTGTACACAGGTAAAACTAGATGCGGAAAGCACATTATACAGGTTAATATTAATTCGATCTAAAGGTGCCAATTAAAACTTGAAAAAAATTATACAATAAAGAGGAGAAATCATAGTTTTTTTCTATTAAAAAAAAAGATGCCTGTCTTAACGTAGCATTTTTTCCATAATTATTATTATTAAAATATACTCATCGTTCCTATTACCACCTATATTTAATAAGCCGCGATACGCTATTAGAAGTTAATGCATAATGGAGTTAGAAATTAAACCTTGCCTTGGTGACATCTTCCTTAACTAGCAGTATGTTAACATTTTCATTAAAATTATTTCAAAGAAAGTCGATGAAGCGCCATCTGTTATCTGATGAGTAAAAACACGGCTTACAAATTGAAATATTTTACTAGTTCTTTTATTATGCGCTAGATGGCAGTAACTTAAATTAAAACGGTTAGCTGCGTGTAACATTATTTCGCTCACATGAAATATTTGTTTGACTTGTACGAATCTTTCATAACAAAAGTTATGAAATAAAACATTATAATTTTCTACGAATTAATACAAGTACATCATCACCGTGGATTGACCTCATGAGTGATAATTGCAATTAAGCATTTGTGTACTAATTTTTGTTTTTAGAATCTGTTACAATTTGAGCAATTTACCATAATTTATTAACCTTTCAACTGCCATGTGGGTCAACGTTGCCCTACGTGGCGCACATAAGTAATTATGTCGATTTCTGTTACTATTTGTATTATTATTGCCTAATTAAATTAAATTATTGCAGTAAAGCGCAGTGCAATGCGCAACTGGAAGATACTGCGACTAGTTATTAGTAAAACTGTGCCATAACTAGGTAATATAGTCTTCGTTATTTTAAACCAAATATTATTGTAAAAACCTTTAATTTGTTGTCGAAATTTAACAATTGCTCTGCTCTAGCCACTATCGATTCTGGGAACTCTTATGATGTGGTCATATCACTGCATTTTCAGATCGTCCTTAACGACAATGAAATGTTTCTGGTATTTAAAATTACCTAGGTATGTCACTTTCCTTTTGTCTGACGTTATATTTTCAATTTAAATCATCTATACATATAAATAAAATTGGAGTGTCTGTTTAAAATATAAACTGAAATAACCGCTTTTTACTACATGCATATGAACATATACACGGTACATACACCAAAATAACATTTTTTTACAATTTTGTCTGTCTGTCTGTCTGTTTGTTTGTTCCGGCTAATCTCTGGAACGGCTGGACCGATTTGGACGGGACTTTCACTGACAGGTAGCTGATGATATAAGGAGTAACTTAGGGTACTTTTTTAGACTAGCTTCGCCCCGCAGTGTCTCCCGCGATACGAAAATAACCGCAGGTAGCGTCGCGGGACTCAACTATTCAATAATAAAATTTAATGTTTCCGAAGCGAAGCGACGGCGGGTCGCTAGTCTTAAAAACATCAAAGTTGTTAGTAAGGTTTTTAATACCATTTTTAACCGTTACTGATAGGCTATAGTGCCGAGCCATGCTAGAGCATGTGTAATAGAGATTTATTGATCCATAGAGACAGATCAGCTCTCGGCCAATCTAGTATTTATAGACATCACCAACGTTAATGCCTCCACTTACCTGAAAACTCGAGAGCGAAGTCTCAACTATATAGCAGCGGGGCTGTCACATCTACTTCGCGGAAAAATAGGCAGCTGACCGTGCCAAAAATATTCAATAATTAATTTAATATGTGTAATTTGATTACATAAACAATAGCAGAACGCATATACTCTCCCCAGATGTTTCCCAAATGTTTTTAAAACCAATAAATAATACATATCATAAACAGAACAGTTTCCGGTATTGATTGCCTCTTATTAACTTTTTACTATTCTCACTAAGAGTACGATTCAATATGATAATAATGAAGTCTTAAAATCAAAATCAAACCAAATTAATCAAAATTGCTTTGAATCGGCATTGGTATTATGTTATGGGCTTGGAAATGGTTTATCAGACCGTAACTGCACTAACTTCTTTTTTTAATTACACATGTAGGCAGACGAGCATACGGCCCACCTGATGGAGAGTGGTTACCGTCGTTCATGGACGTTAGCAATGCCAGGGGCAGAGCCAAGCCGCTGCGTACCGTTTCTTGGTCATATTAATACCAGGATTGATGATGATTGATGATTGTCGTCAGATCCCGGATCACCATCGGAGCTCAGCGTCGGCGTTCAGTGACGGAGACAACACAGTGGATGAAAACAATGGAATTCTCTCGGACGATGATAAGCCGAAGTAAGTTTTATTGATGTTTGTATTTAACACAGTAGTTCCTTCGGCTTCCGCGAGCCGTGGACATAATTAAAACTGCTTTTACAGTTTAGTCCCGCGTTCTTTGTTTGTACGTGACCACGAATGCTTTAATCTATTTAGTGCTGAGCTTATTTTCACATAGGTATTCTGCAGAAATTGCCAAGGGTTTTATTTTTTTAAACCTGGAGTCATGGTCCAGACGGCTGGCTGATCCTTCGGCTGCTCGTAGGACCATCGAGGCGATTCGCCCGGTCCTTGTGGATTGGGTGAATTTTGACAGAGGACGCCTCACTTTCCGGCTCACGCAGGTGCTCACTGGACATGGTTGTTTCGGTGAGTTCCTGCACCGGATCACACCCGAGCCGACGGTAGAGTGCCACCATTGTGGTTGCGACTTGGACACGGCAGAGCATACGCTAGTCGCCTGCCTCCCCCCCCCCTCCCCCTGCATGGGAGGGGTGGCGCCGTGTCCTCGTCGCAAAAATGGGAAACGACTTGTCGTTGCCGAGTGTTGTGGCATCGATGCTCGGATCGAAGTCGTGGAAGGCGATGCTCGACTTCTGCGAGTGCACCATCTCGGAGAAGGAGGCGGCGGGGCGCGTGAGAGACGCACAATTCCGCCGCCGTCGAGCGGGGGCCAGGGAGGCGGATCTCGCCCAAGCCCTGGCCCTCTAAGTGTTTCGGGTCACCTTCACATGTCGGTCTGGGGACCGGCGAAAGGGGCCTAAGAAGACGACGTGCAAGCTGCTCTGCACGCGTTTTACGCAAGAGTATCCGGGTGATGGAAGGCCGGCTATCCTCGACCCACGCTGGTTTTGACTCAGCGGGGTATTCCGTAGGATAACCCATTGTAACCGGCGCCATCTAGGCGGGCTCCGGATAGCCTGCCGACCGAGAGGGCTGGTGGTCGTGGCGCCGACGACCGCCGGTCCGGCGTCCCGAGGGGGAGGGTGATGGGAGAGATGTGCTCCGCACTAAACGCTTCACTTTCCCCCCTTTGCCTTTTCATGAGTTCTGTCTCATGCGAGGTTTGGACGTTGGTTGTTGAGCGACAGGAAGTTTTAGTCAGTTCGACTCTGACATGCCCCGCCCTTCATCCCCAGGGGAAGGTGGAAGTCCGGCGATTTCCTCCTGACAAAAAAAAGGGATTTTTGAAAAAAATACTTAATAAAAAAAACTTTAAGTTCAAAAAATCAATGCTAAAATCAGTAATTTTTCATGGTTATTTCATAAATTTGATTAAGTTATTAAAAAGTTATACGTGCGTGCGCTAAAACACGTCCATACAGGTCAATGCCTAATACCTATAATCGAACTGCGCAAGAGTCGGTATTTCGACGATCCGCGCTTTATACGCATTGACATTGTCCTACCACCTACCAACTCTTGCCACCAGTAATAACATTAACATTATTACTGGTGGTAGGACCTCTTGTGAGTCCGCGCGGGTACGTACCACCGCCCTGCCTTTTTCTGCCGTGAAGCAGTAATGCGTTTCGGTTTAACGGGTGGGGCAGCCTTTGTACTGTTCAAAGTGAGACCTTACAACTACTCATATCTCAAGGTGGGTGGCGGCATTTACGTTGTGGATTTCTATGGGCTCCAGTAACCACCTAACACCAGGTAGGCTGTGAGCTCGTCCATCCGTCTAAGCAATAAATAAATAAAAAATATTTCATATCAGTCAGCTTGTAATGCTAAAGGCATTTTCACATTCACATAGAGAAGTATATTGTTATTCAGTAGATAATTACGATTTATTACCAGGTGACTTTTTCTGCTCATCTATATAGCTAATAAGTAAATATAAATTGAAGAATACTTGACCCAGTACCGCGATAATGAGGTCTGGTCAAAGCGGACGTGACCCAAGGGTCGCTAATGAGGAAACAGACCGGTCGCTGAACCCTGTGCATTGCGAAATCTTTCTCGCAGTGCATAGCCTGCGTGATCTACCCGGTATATTATATAGAGGTGTTACAACAAACTTTATCAACTCAACTACGGAAATTATTAGTATATTTTGTTTGTGTGATGAATTAAGTGCGTTAAACAATAACGGCAGTCTCGTTAGGAATATTTTTGTATTTTGGATGTCTCAGCGAGAATGATGCTTCTATCACGTAATATAAGTTGTAATGATTAATGAGAAAGTCTGGTTTTGCTTTGAAATATTTAAATTTCGCATAATTAATTCAATTCGTTGGGCCGATGACATACTTAATAACTATGTTTCTCGTGGATGTCAATTATAAGCTTTTATAAAAGAATATACTCTTTATATATTACATAGGAGACAGGTAGCCCAAAATAGAACCAAATGGAAGGACTTGGAGGAGGCCTTCACCATGTTTAATGGGTTCCTGCCAAACATAAGTGAAGAAAATTAAAATTATTATATGTATACCTATTTACTTTGTATTTTAGCAGGAAATAAAAGGCTTTTTATTTATTTATTATTTATTATATATTTTAAACTACACTAAAACACAAAATATTGGGTGTTGAAAACACTAACCCAAGTTTAGCTCAAAAGGTTTCCTTAACAAAACTATGAACGCTCCGTAAAACTTGGTATTAACGTCTCTATATTATGTGTCTATATGATCGGATACAATCATACGCTGTGAGTGAGCGTTTCCTTCATTCAATAACCGTATAATGAATATAATGTGCAAAGATCGCCACGAGCAACGCTGGCGCAGCGGAAGAATCTGTGACTTTTATGTTCAATTCGCATGTTTGATCCTAGTTTGAGCTTAATTAACTAATATTAAGCTTTGTTAACGTTTTGTAAGACTTAGGAGTAGATTACGGAGACACCCACAGACACATTTCATTGAGTTTCTCGCCGGAACATCTCAGTTGGTCGTGTTTCCGATCCGGTGGTAGATTCTGCGAAGCACTGCTAGGACTAATGTTAGCAAATTCTCTCAGGTTGAGCCCGTGAGCTCACCTACCTTTAGCGCTAGCTGGCCTCTTAGGCTACCAGCGAATAGGTGAGGAAAAACAAAAAACAGAGACACAGTCTCTTTTTTAAATATCTTTTAAAACCAGAGCATACCTACGGTATGACCCTTCTGACGATGGAGGTCATCATCGCTCTTGGACGCCAAGGAAAAAGCCAATCAGTTTTCTGCAGAGGATTCCACTCACATCTTCTTTAAAGAAGGATATGTATTTCATAATCGAGCGCTTATTTTTAACACCGAGGAGTGCAGTAGGAGCCTCGTCATTACTGGAGACATTTTTATTTTTTTTATTCTTTTTTTTAAATTTTTATTGCTTAGATGGGAGGACGACCTCACAGCCCAGCCGGTGTTAAGTGGTTACTGGAGCCCATAGACATCTATAACGTAAATGCGCCACCCACCTTGAGACACCACCCAGACCCACGTTTGAAGTCGTTGTGACCTAAAGGATAAGACGTCCGGTGCATTCGTACATAGCGATGCACCGGTGTTCGAATCCCGCAGGCGGGTACCAATTTTTCTAATGAAATACTTACTTAACAATTGTTCACGATTGACTTCCACTGTGAAGGAATAACATCGTGTAATAAAAATCAAACCCGCAAAATTATAATTTGCGTAATTACTGGTGGTAGGACCTCTTGTAAATCCGCACGGGTAGGTACCACCGCCCCGCCTATTTCTGCCGTGAAGCAGTAATGCGTTTCGGTTTGTAGGGTGGGGCAGCTGTTGTAACTATACTGAGACCTTAGAACTTATATCTCAAGGTGGGAGGTGCATTTACGTTGTAGATGTCTAAAGGCTCCAGTAACCACTTAACACCAGGTGGGCTGTGAGCTCGTTCAACCATGTAGGAAATAAGAAAAAGAAAGAAAAAAAGACGATTTAAGAATTAAAAATCATAATAGTTTTATAATGACTGCATGCATGTTCAACGTGTGTGCGGATCCGCCACTCCAATCAGTTCAGACTTAACAAAACACGGGCGCAGACCACTGTTGTTTTCTGTTTTACTATTGACTTGTCGTGTTGGTTTGTTTTATTGTGTTGTAACGGGTTTGTATTTTTTTTTTATAGGTATTTTCTCTTTTCTTGTCGATATTATTATAATTTAGTCTCGTCTTTTTGCGATAAATTGTTGATTCCACTAAACGGGCTGTCAACATATTAAATTTGGATTATATTATTCTATTTATTGCAATTTTTTACTTTTCGAAAACTCAACAAATTTCCGTAAAAGTGGTTCTTAATCTGCCTCTATGTGTGGTCGGCATCACAATTCATACTAACCTTGCCCGTTATTTATACTAAATTAATTAGCTTACCGAAAACAACTATTTCTTGTTTTAAATTCTTAAAATAAATTCATTATTTATTAACAAATAAAATAGAACGGTGTTTGATGAATCGTTTAAGGTCAATAACAAGCAATGACGTTCTAGTCTGGATTATTTTAATACTAACACTAATAACAATTGTGTATTTCAATTGTTTTCATAACAAAATTGCGTAATGTTTTAAGAAAGAAAAAAAAACAGCTGAATTTGTAAATTAAGTTCCATATAAACCGATTATTAATTCAAACAATAACGTTTTAATTATCTTATGTTTGTTAGTAACAATTACGCTGGAGTGTGTGTAGCTTAGGTGTATTGACATTGCGCATTTTATATTTCGATAATTAAGGTCATCTTGGCCTAAAAGATAAGAAGCCGGTGCATCCGTGCGACTATGCCAGTGTTCAAATCCCGGACGCAGGTATTGTGTTATTAAATAAAACTAGAGGTCCCGCAATAGTCGAAATTCGACTATAATTAATTGGAATTGTATAATAAGTTTGTACACTATTATGATTGTATTTTATACTTCTATAATCACAAATTTCGCCAAGGCTACGCTATAAAAAAATATTAATAAAGACACAATATTTAATCTACTCTCAATTTGACCACAGACGTTAAGAACAAAAGTTTGACAATAAATAGTATGCATGCGTGTGTGCGTCAAATA